ATAAATTGATTATATTTATTATCTATTTCTTGAATATTCTGAAAAAATAATATTCTAAAGATTTCAATTCAAAATAATATATAAAATATAAATATAACTATTTTCTTTTTTTTTATATTAATTTATATATATTTTTTTTTGGATTTTTTAATTTTCTATTATTAATTTAATAGAAATAAAAAGTTTACTAAAAGTGAATTTAATAATAATAATATTTTTATTAAAAATAATTCTTTATATATATTCTTATAAAATAATTTTATTATTATTATATAAAATTCTATAGGATTATAAAAAAAATTGATTATATAATTTTGATTTATAATTATAATTAATTTATAGAATCCTATTTAGCCTTTCTTTTTTCTCCATATTTATATTAACAAATTTAAAGATAGATTTAGAGTTTTATATATACTTAAACTATTTCTAATAATAAATAAATCTTATATTATATATTTTATATAAATCTTTCAAATCTCTTTTATTATATATTAATATATCTTTACTTATTTCAAAATTAATTAGAATAATAAATTATATAAGGTTATATAAGAATATATTTTATATATAAAAAGGATTGGGATGAGATTATTTGATTCTATAGTATTATTTATTGCTTTAATTATTATTTACAAAATTACTTCTTTTTCAAGATTTTCGTTTTTCAATTCTTTTTTGAATATTTTATATATATATTATATAAATATATGAAATCTTTTGATTTTGCTAATTATATTATAAGTTTTTATAGGAATTTTATAAATATTAATTTATAATACTTTTATATTTTATTGAAATTTAATTAATATAAAGTTTATATCAATATTATATAATATATAATTTAATAAATTAAAATATATATTAATTTAATATTTTCGAATTATATTTCAAATTATCTTTATATTTATATTATATATAAATATTATAATGTTATATATAATAGCTTTATTAATAATATAAAGAATTAGTTTTTTTTCAATATAAAATATATTCAGAATAATTGAATAATTGAATTTAATATTATTTTTAATTATAAATTTGAATTATCCAAAGGATTTTATATAAAATTAATAACATTTATATATTTTATTAAGTTTTTTAATTATTTGAGAATTGATATTTATATATTCTATACAATTAAATATATTAATAAGTTTTTATATAAAAAAGTATTTAAATCTTTAATATATTTATTAAAGTTTAATTTTTATTAAATAATTATATATAATAATCTTTTCTATTTAATTAAATAATATAAAAGGGTGTCCCCATTTATATATAATGGGAATTATTTTATTACCTTATTTTAACATATTTACTAGATTGTTAAAAATAATCTATAGATAATCTATATTCTATAAACATATAAGAAATAGAGTATTTATTAATATAATAAAAAAGATAATATTTTCAAATAGTATTTAAATAGTAATATTATCTTATAATTATACTAAGCCTTTTTCGAATTTGATATTATATTCAGCTTCTTTTATATATATAATGCCTTTCTCCCTTTTTAATATTTAGATTTGAAATTCTTTTATTATTAATATTTTTAATATTTTTATATTTAAAATAATTCCTTGAAATATATTTGTTAAATATTGATTTTGAAATTGAAATATTTTATTTATATTATTAATCTTTTTGTATAATTAATTAAATTGATAATTTTATAGGTATATATATATTAAGAATTGCTTTTTGAAAAGTTCTATTATATATATATTATTAATATATTCTATTTCTATAAAGTATATTTCGAATTGAATTAATTGATTATTTAAAGATTTAATTTATAGATATTCAGAATTTTCGTTTTTATTTAATATTTCATTTTTTTTATATTCGAAATCTAATTTATTCTTATATTTCAAGAAATATTATTTAAATATTTCTTTATTTATTTCTTATTCTACTATATATTAACTAAATTTCAATTTTTATTTCTTATTTATATAATTTATTAACCAATATTCTGGTTATTTGTATATAAAGTATTTTTATATTAATATACATAATATTGTTTAGAAGTATTAAGATTTTCTTATTGAATTTACTAATAAATAATTATAAGAAAAGGTGAATCTTTTTTTTAATCAATCTTAATATTATCCTTAAATCTAATATAAACCTCAGCTTTTATATATATAATCCATTCAGTATATTTCTATATTAAATAGATTATTAATTATTGAATCTATTATATAAGTATTTATTATTTATATTTGCTTAATTTGATTAATAGTATTTCAAAGATTAATATAAAGGCTTTTATATAATGTAGTGGGGTATAATAATATAATATTATATTCGGGGATATTGTAATAAGTATTTATTATTTAATTTTTTAATATTAATTCTAATTAATATAAATTTATTAGTTTATATTGTAATATACAAAAAATATTAAAAAGCTTTTCTAATTATTCTAAAAATATTTTATTAGGGTATTTTTATATAATTTATAGAAATATTATATTATACTATTTAATAAGATATTTCTAATATTTTTCTTTTATTTCGAAATATATTTTTATAAGTATAATTATTTCCTTGAATTTCAGATTTCTATTATTAATTTTATTGAAATAGAATAATAATATAGAGCCTTAAAGTATTATTGAAAAAGCTGATTTATATTTATTTTAATTAATTCCGATTTTTCTATAAAATTCATAAAATATTTGAAGCTTTTTTTTTAAGAAATCATATTTTTTATTATTATATTTGAATTTGTTATTATTATATACTTTTATTAAATCTAAGAAAAGATTTTATTTGTATTTTATATTAAATATATTTTATTTTATTAAATAATTTGGTAATATAAAATCAAAAGGAGGTTAGCTTTAAATTCTTTATTGTTATTTATTTTATTTAATTATATTAAAAGAATCTAGTATATATAATATTTAGATTTGGATTGATTTTTTTGATATAATGATTTTATATATATTTGTATATTTTTTATTAAGTTTTTAAACTTTTTTTTTAATATTTTTTATATATTTGGGGGATATTTCCTTTGGAATGATTTTAGAAAGGATTTTTGTATAATTTAGATTTTCTTTAATTTGTTGAATTTGAAATCCATAAATAATAAGTTAAATTCGAATGAGTTTGAAGGCTTCGTGATATATGATTTTGAATATAGCCTTAATTTATTCTTTATATTATTTCTAAAATTTGTTTTATAATTTTTATTCTTTATATTATTTGAATTATAAATTAATAAGCTATATAGTTATATTAATATTTACTTGAAATTTAATAAATTTTATACTTGAATTTAATTATTTCCCCTAAAATATAGAATTTACTTTATATAAAAATAATTTAGATATTAAAAAAACTATATTAAATAATAATATTCAATATTATATTATATTAAGTATATTTATTATATAGTATATACAAGAATATAATAAATATAAATAGAATTAATATAAATCAAATTATTCTGAAGAAAATATAATTATAGACAAGAATCTCTTTTTAATATATAATTTGAAAAAATAATATAGGGAATATAGTATTCTAATTCTTCCATATAAATTATATATAAACTAAATTTAATACAATTTTATTTGTTTTCTTAAAAAGATATCTCTTTTTATTAGATTCAATCTTATTATTCTATAATTGAATCTAATTAATTACTAATTAGTATTAAATAGATTTTATAAGGTGTATACATATAATATATAGAGGATTAATTAGTATTAGTATTCTTATTTACCCTCTTCATACAAAGGGGGTAGATAGCTATATATATCTAGATACAGTTTTATCCCACTTACACTTGAAAGGTGGAGGTGGGGTAAACACGTGGTTTGTCACGTGGTTTGCTCACGTGTTCCGACAGTTACTAATATTAATTACATGTTATAATGAGGGTTTAAGATGTCTATATACATAGTAACATAGTTAATATAGAGGCCTCTTCCATTTAATCTTTTAATATAAAGATTTAATATAAAGAATAAAACTATTTATTCTATAATATAATATATTATATAGTTTAATAGATTGTCGAATATGAAGTTTTTTGTTTTTTCGAATAGCCTTAATGACTAAAAGTATTCGAGCTTTATTATTATTTGATTATATAATAATTGATTAATAAAACGCGTATTGAATTGAGATGTGAATATTTGAGGTGAAAGTAATCCACTTGGTAATATGATCTACTCGGTGATGAATCACGTTAGCTCTTATATAAACAAGAGTATTCACTTTAAAGGAATAACTTCAATACAATAACTACTATATCAAAGGGATTTTAATCAACGGACGAAGGATTTTTATGACTTTACGAATTTCTTTTTCAGCTATATGTATTGAAGATTATAAAAGAGAGTCCCGAGTATATAAACAAGAGTATTCACTTCAAAAGAATAACTTCAATACAATGACTATTATATCAAAGGGATTAAGCGAATACGAAAGAGACTAGCTCTTTTAGTAGTGCCTATATAAGGCCTACTACTTTCCTATATAGCTAGCTCTTTAGATAGAATACAATTAAATATATAGAACCTATAATATGTGGGTACTACGTCTTTCGTATCCTTCTCGAACCAACAGCTCTCCTCCGTAATAACTAATTACATTTAATTAAAAACAATAGTTTGAAAATTTTTAAATGAAAACTTTTTTATGTAATATTATAATCATTTAATTTTTCTTTTAATTCTTTTATTCAAGAAACGAAAACTTATTTTTATTTAATGTGTTTAAAAAAGTATATATTAATCAATAATTTAGGAAAATTCAATTATATAATACAGTACTTAATATTCAATTTAAAAAAGATAGGAAAAAATAATTATAATGAAGACATTTCATATGTACTTTCATACTTAATATCTATATTAAAAACCCCCCATATATATAATCCTTCGATTAATTACTAGGAAACCTTTCGAACAACATCACTCCTAAGCACAATATCCCCCAAAGTGCCACTTATCTAATACCCTGAAAAAACGAATTCAATTCTTTCGAACAGTAAATCGCACCTTTAGCGGTTGTTTGTCCCAGAGTAGGAAAGCCCTCTGGTTATCATGCCATGTCTCTTGCCCTGGGAGTAATTCGTAATCGAAACGGAAGAGGAGGCGAGATATGAGTAGGCGCATTTCATTATAGGCCAGATTCTTCCCTATACAGTCGCGAGGTCCATGACTAAAGGGCTTGACGCAGGCAAGGTTGTCCTAGAGCACAGATAATGGAGTCAGTATCTTTTCTCTGAGAAATCATGATTGCCTTGGTGTGTTGCAGACACCCAACTTCTGAGTCATTAACAGGTAGAAAGAGAGCTCCGAGAGCCTTACTTACTTTTGCATAGCGTGCGTCGTAGTGTGGGTGTGTAGGGAGAAGCCAACGTTCGGGTCGGAATGAGTCCGGGTCTGTGAAGTTGTTTGGATTACGAAATGTTGCCCAAGGGTATACGTGGATGATAGTCTTTGATAGAGGTTAACAAATGGGACAGCTAAAGACGACAGGTACAGGAAAGAATAACAACATACCCCCGATGGGATGAACTCGCCGCCAATGTTGGCGCCAGGCGACACACGCGGTGGCGTCTCAGCCGCTGGAGGAAACATTCGCAGAGTCTCTTCTATACACGCCTGTAGGTAACTGATCTGGCCACAGTTTATCATGTTGATTTCCGACTCGTCAGTGAAGGTGCTGCGGATCTCATTTTGCAAAATTTGTTTTTGAGCTGCATTCATACTGGATATGTAGAAGAAATAAGTCATGGCAGATGAAGTCGTCTCACTTCCTGCGACGATCAAAATCATTGTGTTCAGCATGATATCTTCATCCGGCATTGCTTGCTCGCCATCTCGATTTTTCTTTAGCCTGGGACAGGTGTTAACGCCATATTTGAGCAACAAAGTTAGGCTATACGTACATGTGAGTCATGAAATCGCGTTGACCTGGCTTTGGCTCTTCGCCCATTTTCATACGCTCTTTTGATAATTCTTGGGCCATTACTATATTTTCCAAGTTTCCATTCATCGCTGATGTAACTCGCTTGCGACCAAGTATCATATTGAAAGGAATGGAGAGGTAGGGATACGCCATTAGAAAGCGGTTGTAAGAGTTTCCTATGACACTATGAAAGAAATTGGTAATGAAGATATGCTCTTCACCGGTCTCAAGTGAGTTGAACGTTCTCGCGAAGGTAAGCTCGCCAATGATATCAAAGAATGTGAAGTTCATCCTATATTACGAACGAGTCAGTAAATCATTGATCAGGACTGTTTCGAGAAAATGTATGTAGAATTGCCATGGGACAATTTTGGTACGGACAATGCACAATAGGAAGTCAGGGTTTGATCGATACGTACCACTGCAAAAAATCTACAGTCTCTCCAAGCTCAGCTTTGCGTGTTAGCTGCTCTACTAGTTTGTCTACCAGCTTTGAGATAATGACTTCTTGTTCACGGATCGCCGTTTCACTAAATGCGGGAGCTAGAGTTCGCCTCAACCGGCGGCTATCAAATAGTGAGTATGGAATACAGCTCTGATACAATTTCCATCGAGGTCGAAGAACGATTACATTGCTCTTTGACTTCAAGATCACTGTCAGTTTCAGGAGGAAGCAACTTACTGCAATTCGTTAGGAGCCCCGACTATCGTCTTATGGTCACCGCTGAAAATGTAATCATGGACCTTGTCGAAAGTCCCAGACTGACCTTTAGCTTTGAGGCTATACACCTCAGGAAAGCCAATACTGCCGTCGACGGCAATGCGGTCAGGTCCGATGCGGACTAGTGGCCCAAATTGCTTATGCAGCTGAGATACCTCGTGGATAAAAGTTCCATCGACATTAGTGCGCCATCTAATACATCGATTAGCGTTCGTTCTGCTCAATATTTCTAGATATGATGGATATTACTGGTTGATTATGTCGATCATTGCCATGAGTCGCGGCCCAGGGATTTTCGAGAGAGGATGAAACCATAGACGGTAAATCGCAAGCCCAATGAAATAGAAGAAAAGCTAGATCAGGGTTAGCAGATATTTCGGAGTCTGCCAATGACTGCGGAGCACTGACAGTAGTTGGAACAAAAAAAATAATAGATTGTGCATCTAGCTTAATGAGTCGTTGTGGCAAAGTTGCCGGGAGGGTGAAGGCCATGTTTCGTAGAAAAGAACACACAAGTTCGCGGGATGAATGTAGCGTATATGATTTTGCTTTCGAAGAAACAGTAAGTTATATATAGACGAACCGGAGTTGTACATTTTTCTCCTTAGACCCCTGCATATTCGCACAAAGTAGCCCCGGCATAGCATAAAGATTGCCGGCTTTAAAAACATTCCGAGCCGGCTTCAAGCAGACGTTAAGTGGAATGCCCCCACGGTCATGCATATTTCTCTTTCGATCCTTGCATACCCGCACAGACTAGCCCCGGCATAAGATTGCCGGCTCTAAAAACGTTCCGAGCCGCCTCCAAGCAAACCTTCAGTCTAATGCTCCACTTTTTGGTAACCTCATTGATAGCTATAGCAAAACCTCTTTACAAAGATATAGATTTTTGTAGACTTTTTCTAAGGATGTAAGGAAGAAGTATCCCAATAATCTCGGCTCAGTAGTAATTCTCTTCTGATTAGTCCCGTTTGGGCTACATTTCCGTAGCATTTTCCACTTTAACGAAGGTTGACTAAACTTCAATATAATTATTATAAGATAGTTATATCTTAGCAATCTTATTGTTTAATGAGAATATATTTGATCCTGGGACCTTAAAGACCTTGGAATACAAGGTTCTCCTAATAAAGAGGTTCTATGGATATAGGTTACTTTTAGGCCTGAAAACTTTCGGTACTGAAAAACATATCTTTATAAGGAGTTTTTGCTGTACTGCCGGCATTGAAGCTTTCTATTTCAAGGCCAATAGTGTTCCTCCAATGCTTCGGTTCAGTGAAGAGCCGTGGAATTGTTCAATCTCTGCATTTGACAATTATCAAAATCGAGTCAAGAAGGGTATAATAGTTGTTGAGATAGCATACGACGTACTTTCTGTATGCCTCACTATAGTAAGGTGTGTTGTATGCTCTACTGCGTATTTCAATATATTATATCACTGAAATAATTGAGATTGTTACCTAATATTGAATACTACTAATAGAACACGGAAATACAGGAATTCGATAAATTCCAATGAGAATAGCTTCAATATTATCAATTTGGGAAGAAGTTTATTAAATATTTCTAAATTTCCATATGAATATAACTGAAAACCTTAGGAACTCATTAATTTCGGTAATTCAATATATTGCTAGTGTTGATATCACTACGGTAGTGATTATAATGTCTTTATAATAGGTATTATATATTAATTAATATTATATCTAACCTGTCACGGTCAAGTCTTAGAAGGCCAGTCGAGGCACGTGAGTAGGTCCTGTGGACCTACCTCGGGCCGATATCAGCCCGCGCACAATTATAAGTTGTAGAATTTTCATAGTTTGAAGGAATTAATGAAAAGTCTTGAGATTACATAACACCTAGTTAATTCATTACTATTATCTAGTCTAATATAATCTATTTCAGACTTAGAGCTACGTATTACGACGGCATCCAATGTACCGAGTCACATGATCAGGAAATCACAGGATTAGAGATTCCCACTGGATTCTATTACAGATCGCACTCAATCGCAATGCGATCGCTTATGTACACATACGCGCATGTGCACGATCACATGTATATAGCTAGTATATAAAAGCATTCTATAAGCGCTTTACTCTCGATTCTGTAGTTATAGATTCTAAGAATAAATTATATTTTACTCTTATAGTTTTTTTAAAACAAAGTGTTATATTATCTATAACTCATTATATAATCATATAGTCATCTAATAACTAATCAAATAATATCTTATAACTTAATACCTTCTTAAATGAATTATACAAATTCGATATCATTTATAGAAAAAAAATCTATTTCAATTAATTCTTAATAAAAATAATTTACTAATAAATATACAAATTACAAATACTATTACTATATTTATACTTACTGATTCTAGTATTAATCTATTTATATTAATATTTGATATATAATAATTCTTAGTTAATTTATTTATTTAATTCAATTAAGAATAGATTTATATAAATAATAATAATATTATCTTTAAATCTAATATTAATTTTAATAAAAAAAGAAAAATAAGGAAAAAGGAATTGTTTATTAACCTTGAAATAATACTATTCAAATCAATGTTTAAATGTAATTAATTGTAGATTAAATATAAGCACTCAAATTCTTATAAAAGCAAGTTACTAGATTACAAATACAAATTAATAATATTCAAAGTATTATTAATTCATTTTATATTATTTCTTAATAATCTTATATATTTTCTTTTAAGAAGAGCAAAATCCGGATTCCTAATGTTTTTATAAAATCTATTAAGTAGAATACTTTTATATCTAAAAAGAAGAAAAATCATTCTCGAAAATATACTTCGAAATAATTTCGCTTTTATTTAGAAAAGAATATTCACTTATTAGCAATTATATTTAATTATAACTTGCTATTTTATCAAATATTCTATTTTTGTTTTGATATTGTTTTTATAAAAAATTATATATTCTGAAATTTATTAATCTTTTATTAAAACTTAAAAATGATATAAAACCAAAAGCAGATTTATAACAACTATTAATTATAGAATAATTAAAGTTATATATAATATTATTTGTTTTGGAATTGTAATATTGATTTTATATAATAGATTAGATGGAAGAAAAAGTTCAATAATATTTATATTCTTTGTACACCAAATCCCCTTTTAATAAAATTATAATTGATTAATAAACTTACAGTAATTTATAAGAATTCTATTAAAATCGATTATATACAAATTAAATATAAATATTAGATTATACTTAATAATACTCAAAAAGATAACTTTATATTATAATATCGAAATTTCCGATTACTTACTATACAAATAGAAATTATTGATAATAAAACTCTTTTTCATAATTTGAAAAGAAAAATATCTGATTTCCTCTAATAAGCTATTAGTCTTTATATTAAAGATTATATTACTATCAAAAACCTTATTAATAAGCTTACAAAGATTAATAAACTCAAAGTTATTATTCGAAAATATAACTATTATAAATAAATTAAAAAAACTTTAAACAAAAAAGTTATTAATAATACTTTTATATAAAGCATATTTAAGAATACTTTTTATATATATAATAATTCTATTTTATTTCCTCAATTTTATTCCTAAAATCCTTTTATACTTCAAATGGCTATATAGAAACCTTTAGATCAAATACTATTTCATTTTTAGAAAACAATTTCAATTATAATATTATATTTCTTTATTAGAAATTAATTATAATTTGATTTTATATATAAACAACTTTAATGCTATAGCTAAAATCGAAGAAACTAAAGAGGATAAAGATTTCTATAAAGATTTCTATAATACTAAAAAGAATTTGAATTTAGAAATGTAAATAAAAGTTATCAAATTTATTTATAATATTAAAAATTAATATTTAAATTAATATGCTTAGGTAGAAATTCCCTTTTAAATATAATCCAAAATATAAGATTCTCAATTTAACAAAATTAATGGGAAATGATTTTATAAGTTTATTCTGTATACTTTCGAAGAATAAATATTCATTTTAAATTTAATCTTTATAGATTTTAAAGTAAATAATTTATTTTTATTAATAAAACACTTTTTATATTATTATTTTCTATATTTAAATCTCATTATTTACTATTTAATCTTTTATTGAAATCAAAAGCTATAATAATATAAAAGGTAAAGCAATTATTTATTATACATTTCTTAATTTTATTATTAATACTCAATAACAATTCTATTTATTATTTCTTATTACTGATTTAGGGTTATATAATATAATCTTAGGTTATATATGAATAATAGAGATTCAAATTAAAGTAGATTATTTCAATTAAAATCTCGATTAGCCTATAAGTGTCCTCCTATTATTTCATTATCAAAAAATATATTTTTAATTAAAAACAATCTTCAAAACTATAAAATCAATCATTTAAAACAAAAAACATAAATAATCAAAATATCTAATTGGATTAGATATATTACTAGCTGAATAACAAATAATAGAATATAATAACAATTATATTAAAGATACTTATTGTATCTCCAAAAAAGATTAATATAATAAAAATAGTATTTATCAAAATTCAGATTCTAGTTAATCTAAAAAAGAAATCTGTTTTTAATCAAATATCTATTCAATAATATATGAATCTTTTCCTTTCTATATCTCTAATATATTCAATATTTGTATATTGAAACTAATCCAATTTCAATTTATTTATAGAAAAAATAGGGATTATAAGATTTTTATAGTTATTTATATAAAATCATAATATTATCTTATTTTATAAATTTAGTTAAGAAAAAGATTACTATATTTCAAATATAATCTTTATTTTGAAAAGTTTGGAATTAAAAACTTTAGCTGTTTTCAATTATATTATTATAAATATTGAAACAAATTATTAATTTTAAAGTTTATTAATAATATTATTAAGTATTCTTTAAATACAAATTAGATATTCTATTTCTTTTAATTATATAATTATAAAATTATATTGAAAGGAGAAAATAAAAAAGCCCTCAAATACAATTTTTGTATAAAATGTTCCTTAAATAGCTTAAAGTTATTAAAGAATATATTATTGAAAACCTTATAAAAGAATTTATAGAATCTAGTTAAGCTCTATTTGTAATATTAATTCTTTTTATAAAAAAGCCAAATAAAAACTTAAGATTTTGTATAGATTTTTGACTACTCAATTTTTAATATATAAAGATAGATATCCTCTATTTCTCATTAATAAAACATTTATATAATTTATTAATATAAAGATATATATTAAACTAGATATTTAATAAGCATTCTATTATATTTATATAAATCCTATTTTCAAAAGTATATTATCTTTTATACTTAATATAGTTTTTATAGATATAAAGTTTTATTCTTTAAACTAATAAATAGATTTATAATTTATTAATAATATATAAATAATATTCTATTTGACTATTTAGATAACTTTTATACTATTTACTCAATAATATACTAATTTATTTTGAAAATAAAGAT